TTGATCGGGCATCATATCAAAGAGCCGAAATATAGATACTTACGTGATTGTTATCGAATAATTGCAAATAGTCCAAAACCATATTATGAAGACCTTACATTCCGAGCAATGAAGCCTAATAAAATACCAAAAATAGATGAATTCTCTCCTGAAAGAGGAACAGTTACTATATTCGAAGATGTATATAATGAGCCTAAAAAAATACAAGATGAAATTGCCTCTTACTTCACTGAAGGACGTCACTCCAATATTAGCTCCATATATGTTACACAATCATTCTTCGATTGTCCAGGTAAAGTAAGAAAAAATTCAGATTATATTGTACTCTTTAATGGAGCAGGAACAAATGATGAGCTAGTAAATATTGCCCGGCGATATACAAAAAATTGGCATAATGTTGTTGATATACTTGATAAAAATTTACAGGGTCAGGAATTTATTATGATTGATTGGACTAGGGCAAAGGAAGACGCATTTTACATTCGCAAAGGATGGGACCAAGCACTTGATCTCTCTAATGAGTAGAGCGTGATTCACGATGATGAGGTAATAATTATTTTTTCTGTTATTTATTAATACAATAATATATAGTAAGTACATCCTATTTGTCACTGAACTATATTATATGTTCATCTGCACGTATCCAACCTGTGATTTTATATTAAAAATATATCTTATATATTAAAAGTAACAATCTATTATAATGAAAAAATTATCTTTAAGCGATGCTCAAATAACTGCTAAAAAACGTAATGGAAAATGTCTTTCCACTCAGTATATCAATGCCAAAAGTCCCTTAGAATGGGAATGCAAAAAAGGACACACTTGGTCAGCATCTCTTAATCGTATAAAAGATCATGATAAATGGTGTTCACATTGTGCGGGTAATATTCGTCTTACCTTGAAAGAGACTATCATAATTGCTGAAGATCGTGGTGGAAAATGTCTTTCCAATCAATATATTAATATTATAACTCCATTATTATGGCAGTGCAATAAATTGCATATATGGTATGCATCCCTTGGTAGTATAAAAAATCGTAATACATGGTGTCCACAATGTGCAAAATGTGGGTTTAAGTTAAATCTTGGCGAGTTACAAAAAACTGCTTATTTGCGTGGTGGTAAATGTCTTTCTAAAAATTATACCAAATCTAAAAATCAATATTATTGGAAATGTGATAAAGGGCATACTTGGTATACATCCTTTAATAGTATAAAAAATCATAATTCATGGTGTTCATTTTGCTCAAAATTCAAACGGGAGAATTTATGTCGCGAGATTGTGACGAAATATCTTGGACCTCCGTCAGAAAATCGTTGGCCAGACTTTTTAAAAACATTTGAATCCCCTCAAGGTCTACAACTTGATATATTTTACCCAGAATATGGTTTTGCAATCGAAGTACAAGGAGAACAACACGAAAAATATATCAAATTCTTTCACAAAGGAGATCCCAATAATTTTATCAGACAGCAAGAGCGGGATCAACTCAAGAAAGAATTATGTGAAGAAAATTGGATCGTTTTAAGATACGTTTGGTACTACGAAGACCCATATGTGGTTATTCCAGAGCATCTTCAAGAATTGGGTCTTATTGAGAAAACTTAAAACTTTAAATGCTTCATTAATCATAATCGTTGCATAGTGGATTGCATTCAGAACATGTGCGTTATTTTTTTTTAATGTTTAAGCAATAAAAAAATCTCAAAGTGCATTACCCACACCGAATACACGCATACACATGGTTAAAAAAGATAAAGCCTGGATTGTGGGCGAACTTTATTATTCAATTTCAATCAATGTTAAACTAATAATATCAAAAATTGAACCCAAAAATCTTTTCTATTAATAATACACAAATAAATTATATCGAGTACAGACGTTTCTAGAGTTTTTTCTATTTGCAAAAATCAACATACTCTTTAGATTGGTATCCCCTACTAACCGAAACTCTTCAGAAATCAATCGGCAGAGTTTCAGTGGGTTACACACTAATTATTTATTAGAGTTTCGAAGTTTTGGCCTTTCGGCATATGGCAAAGTTTCGGCGGGTTACACACTAATTGGTTATTAGAGTTTTGACAAAGTTTGACGGTTTACTAAGAGGTTTCGGCAGGCAACCTTAGGTCCCCTACTATATGTAATTGCTTTAACGATTCACAAAGTCGCATCTATAAATAAACGAATGATACAAAATAAGTGGAATTCCAAAGGTATAATGATAATTGTTCATGGGTCATTATCAGTGGTTTGCGTTGGGAATATAATCACTGGTTGACACTCACGCAAACCCAACCCAAAGCAAGTTAAAATTGACTTGTTTTATTCATATCAACATTAAAAAAATGCATGCTATGCTTAATGGCGCTTACCTTTCTTTTCTACTTCCCAAACCTGTATATCAGGATACTCAATCTCCATCCAATTTTTTGCCTTTTCCAAATTCGCTTTGTTATCGAAGTACAAATATATAATCTGTCTTTCTTTCCGGTACCACCATCCATATAACTTTAATGAAACAAAACAATTCATTACTTCATCATCCCCCCATTTTCCAACCGTTTCACCGTCAGTTATTTCAAGGGTATGATTTTTTCCAACGGGGTCTTGTCCGTACACATATGTAAAATGTTGATAGAAATTATCCAAAGAATAAAAAATGGATTTTCTCATGAGATCACCGGATATTCCTATATAATGAGATATTTATTTAGAGAACCTATGTGATTTAAATACAGCAATATTCATACCTGATGACCAAAACCAGATTTCAACCTTCCACTTGCGTTTCAGAGCCTCATTTATTACAGGTTCATAATCCCCATCACCAGCTATTAGGACGAGTACACCGGGATCATTAGACCAGATGACATTCATTGCAGAAACCCCGAGAGCCATATCCACTTTTTTTTCTTTATTTTCGATATTTCGATCGTAAACGACCACATCATGACCTTGATTTCGGATCTGCTTCCACAGCGAATCGTTCGGTGGCGGACGAGAGCCAACAATAATTGGATTGCTACCCATTTGTCGTCCTTTCAATATTGTTGATAGAAGACGACCATGGTCGATGTGAAGCTGGTTGAGGTAAAAGGAATTTCTCTGTTGATCAAATGTGCCTGCTTTTTCGAGTTGACCTATAGTATACTTTCCTTCGATAAACAAGTTGGAATTGTCCACAAAAACGGACACAAGTCCGGTGTTTGATTTTGGAGTTTTTACTATATGGAGGAGAAATTTAGTAACGACTTATATAACTACGATGCAGATAAAATCTCTAGTACACTTACATTTTTTTAGATCCGCGATTAAATTTGCTAATTCCGTGGCAGGTCCAAACGCAAACCCAATACTGCGGAAGTCTTCTTTAGTCATATATAGAAAAGAAGAACCAGTTATTTCCTCTTTACGTAATATTTCAAAATGGGCTTCCTTGAGATACAAATTCTTTTCTCGTTTTTCTCGTAAATATTCGATTAGCTCCTCGGTGCCAAAATTTTTAACTACATTCGCCATCTCGTGAACGGGCTCTTCGTCAGAGGAAACGCTTGAGGGTGAGAATGATTCTGAAGACATCTCTTAAAATCTATTACTGTGCCTAGATTT